GGGAGAGGGAGAGGGAGAGGGAGAGGGAGAGTAGGAAGTGTAGCTACGGGGGAGCGCGGTTGAAATAGTGAGTATCCGATTATCATAAGGGAGGAGGGAATGGTAAGTAAGTAGGTAATAATAAGTAACCAGGCCAATCAGTAATACTTTGCAGTGGGCAGTGGGCAGTGGGCACTGCAGTGGACTGTGGAAAGTGATTGTGTGGGTTTACCTTTCTGTTCTTTCTCTTCTTTCTACAGTATTCTCTTTCTCTTTCATTATTATTGTTGTTGTTGTTGTTATTATTATTATTATTATTATTAATCTTCATTCCCCTTCTAAATTGCTGTCCCCCATAATAATTACTGTCAACTGAATGATCAATACTCTGTAACTACTTCACTAGATATCATCAAGTCGATTGTCTATTTGAGTCGATCTTAGTTTCCTCGCACACTTGCATACTTCATATCGAAGGAGGGACTGCTCTTTGTAAGGTTAATCTTACCAAGGTGCTGAGACTGTTCAGTTATTATCCCAATCATAAATAACAGCGAGAGATAGATGAGAAGAAAGAGAGAAGCGACGAGAGCGAGAGCGAGAGCGAGAGATAGAGAGGAACAGAAGAGTGCCCCGAATTCTCCCATTCGACCTTTCCATCTTGGGTTCCCCCTATGAGTACTCCGTACTAAGTAAGTTAGTAACTTACAGTACCCACCTAGTTCGTTTTCGCATACATGTAGTTACAGTAGCTACTACGCCTACACCCACTTGGTACGGAGTAGATAGCTTAAAGTCCTAAGCTGACTCGGCCCCTCCGTTCGCAGGGCTTCCGGGGCCTCGGGTGAGTGAATCTCTTGCCCTCTGAGCTGGTCCAACTGGTAATGTCACCGTATGGTTATCACCGTCAATCGCAGCCACACCGTTTCAGTCAGAATGCAACCCGTCTTCTTTTTTCTCAATGTTCTCTCTGTATTGATTCGCAATGTCTTCTGTTACTAATCTTGCTAGGAGGGTCAGCAATGGATGGTCGGTCTGCAAATTCGCACCATGAATGCATGAAGGAACTGGATCGCTTATATGTCCGGTCTCAGTTCCTCGCCCTTCTGCTGACCTGGCGCTCTTGCAGCAAGCAGGCAGGAACGAAGAAAAGTGCCCATCCCATCCTGGATCCTGGGTTCAGAAGTAATTGTGCATATGTGTACATCAAGAAGCAAACAGGTCGGATACAGTACAGTACAGACTGAGTGCTGTATCAACTGGTATGTATGGTACAGTACCTAGTGTACTCTATAAGGTACGAGTAAGCACAGCGCAATTGAACAAATACGAAACCAACCAGGGCATGCTGCCAACGGTACGGAGTACTAAGAATGTAACAATAAGCAAGAACAAAGTGGCGCGGGCGTTGGCCTCCCCTTAACCTTCTTAACTTGGTTTAGGGGGGGCTAAGTGAAGACAGGCGTCCTGTGAGAATTCTCATGAAGATCCCTGGAATTAAGCCGTTCACATTCATCATTTCTGGTTCCCCTTCCCCTGCTGCCACTTCTTGACCCATTGACTCATTGACCCATCGTCATAAAGCGTAGTTCCCCCTCGAGGAGTCTGTGATGGTCTTTTTCTGATTATTCTCCGCTGTTCCCTTTGCTCCAGTCGAATGACGTTCGCTGTCCGTGATCGGAAATACCGAGTATGTAAGAAGGACCGGACTCGCTTGACCTCGCACAATTTGTAGATGACGTTAGCTCCCTCGCCCGCGGGAAATGGATTAGTCAACCCTCAGCTCAGCAGCTCTGGGTGATTACATATGAGTAAGTCTGTTAACTAACTTATGAGTATTTCAAGATAACTAGCTAAGTACAGTAATCGGTAAGTAAGTTACTAACTTAGTTCAGACAATTTAAACTAACGAGTAGGTTTCGGATCAGAACTGCTGAAGACGCCCTGCATTCTGCACAGCCTCAATCCAACCCCCATCATCACCATCACCATCGCTATCATCATCGACTATCATCAAGTCAACTCGGTGGCTCCAGCTTGAGTGGGTGGTCAGATCGAGACTCAGACTGAGATATTCTAATACCACATAGGAATAAATCGTAGTCTTCATGGTATATGTATGTCATATAGCTTTGGTGTGGCGCTTCTTTCGGAGTGCAGCAAGCTGGCCGGTGGCGTCTTGCTACGTCTTGCTACTCCCCACTCTGATTTGCCCATAGTTCAATTGTGAAATCAGGCTACCCGCAAACTGAGGGGTAAGTATGTGAAAGTCAGAATGGGGGTAGGAAACCCCTCTTTGCCTGAAATCTCTTTTCTGGGATCCATTTTCGGTCCATCATAAGCTGTCCGCCTCTGCCTTTTTCCGCTACCTGTGCCCCAAAGCCCCGCTATCGATGTTATAAGTGCAGATGCATCCTAGATGCTGAGTCAGTGGCTAACCCCTCCATCGGATCAGACTCGGCCCCATTTGCCAGACTGCCCTGCAGTGCACCCGACTGAGTTCTTCGATTGACGAGAGGCTGAAACATACTGATCTACATGAGTACAGTCCTATGTACTGTGTACTACCTGCCATGTGGGTGCGTCTTGGTTGCTCGGGAACATGGAACAGTCGACCGCAGCGCTCTGATCTACCTCTGTCCCTGCAACATAGCTCGTCAGTTGTAAACCCTCATTGGCATGGTCAACAATTGATTTGACACCCTGCTGCGGCGTATTGAATGAGCTTCCTCATACAGAACCCAGAGCCGGACGCACTGATGGCTCGTTCGAGAAACAAAAAGGCGTTGAAGAGAAGGAGGGGGTTCGCGTGGGAGGCTAGAGTTTAGCTTGAGAGAGTCATTGGCCTTCGTGTGCTATCTCCGAGACAGTGATCAGATCATCTTCCTATGAGTACATTGAGTACATATCTGGTCTCTGATTTGGCGAGAATCCATTGCTGCTCGACCGGAGTCAACTATCAGTCATACACCAATGCTGGCTCCGCGAGGGTCAGCAGATGTCAGGAAAACAGGATAGAAGGAGGTCGTGAGCAAGCTAAACTCGACCGCTAGGCATGCTTGACAACGTCGGACACAATCTCGTTGTAGCACCCCCTCTGGAGACAAGCAACGATAGGACGCAGGGTCAAGGGAACCCTTGGGCCATCTGGCGGTCATTGCACCGCCGAGCATCTTGAAGACTGGCAATTTCATGGCTTGGAAATCACTACATACCTATGAGTGGCAGCACCCTAGTCTCTAGATATAACGCACACATACTATACACACTTGGACCTCGACAACATTTCCTACCTAGGGCTGGGCGCAATGACGTGGGCTTCCTTGGCCAGCGATAACCCGCCTACATACTGCCAGAGGACACAAGCAGTGGGGAAGGAATAGCCTCGGTGCCAGGTAAGGAGAGGTAACCCCAGGCATGATAGGTAGTATGCAATTGGCTATTGTTATTAAGGTAGGGATCACAATGCCAACCATGCAGCAGTCAATTTATTCTTCCATGCGCCTATTTGCGGAGATCCGGTTGATAACCATGTTGCCATCACTCATCTTTCCGCAGTAAGCTATAGACTTGCCAGCCCATCCATCCGTGATCCATCCATCCACCTCTAAACTGCAATTCACCTACCCCTCAGCTGGTCACCTCGCTCAGTAATACTAAAAGTCTAACCTTAAATACAAAGGCCGCGAAGATAATGAAGATCAAATGGGAGGGGCAACCTTGCAACCGAGTCTACGCGACTTGTCATTAACTGCAAAGATAGTCCGGCTAGGCATGAGTGATCGCTCAGCCAAGCTCATTTTGACTGGCCGGAATGTAGCGCTTTGACCAGACGGGAGCCGAAAACTGAAGGTAGTTATCGAAGGTGACCTTGAGTAAGCTGATGGATACATAGTTAACTAGTTGTGGAATTAGTTAGTCAGTCAACTACCTTAGTCCGTCACAAGTTGATAATGATCGTGAATTGAGTGATTTGCCTACTCGAATTACGGGGAGTACTACGTACTGTACAAGTACGTAGTCAACTTAGTAGTCTAAGCTAACTGCTGCTGAGATCCAGTTTGCACGAGGGATTTTTTGCAGCCAATGGAAATTTCAAGTTGAAATGTCCGACGTCGGCACTGCGACCAACAACAAGAGACAACCGAGGAGCCCATTCGTTCTTGTCATACCTCTCTTCCGGTACAAAGTGCTTGTATATCCACTCTTATTTAGGCTAGCTCTATACTCACGTAGGATCATGTATAGGTGCGCGCGCACACACACGAACAGACAGACAGGGAGAAGTAGGCACGTCGCAGCAACACAGTAGAAAGAACGACTACAGCCCCGCTGAATGTGGGGAACCATCTCCGATGGAATTCAGGTCGTCCTTTCTAGCATCGGAATCTAAACCGTGCTGGGCGATGGAACATGATCAAGCTAATTAACCCTGGTTTTTGTGTATCGCGGGGGAACGAATTGTTTACGCAGTCTGCGCTACTTTAGTATCCGTAGTTTACGAATCTCTCTGTGTTTCCTTTCCAATCATCCGATTAATTTTATACAGTAATCAAAGTCTTGTATTAGCAACCGGGATGACTTCACTTTTTAGAGACGTTTTTTTTTCCCTTTCCTTTATAGCCACGCGGATTAGGGAGTGGCTCGTGTAAGGTGTAGTGTATTTGCCCTATAAGATCGGATCGGAGTTTCAACTGCAGATGCAATGCGTGTTTGCTTTTTCTTTTTCTTTTTCTGTTTTTTGCTTTTTTCTCTTTTTCATCTCTCTCTTTCCCCTGCCTTCCCCTTTCCTCCCCTTCCGCTCGCTCCTAGCTGTGCATCTGGGGAATCCGGCCCGGGATGACGGATGCGAGGTGATTTTCTCCCGCACCTTACTTAGCTCATGCCCAGCTGCTGCAGGAGTGGTCAACTGCCGTTCGGTCTGATCGCCTACCGGTTGGTCAAAGGAGAAGGAGGGTGAAGCAACGAAACAATGGGGCTCATTATCACATATCGCGGTGTATTTTGTATCCCAAATGGTCTTCGGCTCTATGTCCTAACAGCCTGGCCGATGACGGGTTACCCATAGTATTGTAGAGAGCACAGCCGGCCGTATTGATTCAGTTCGGGAGGAGAACGAGCCGTACTCCGATACGGTCAAGGGAAGAAACGGCTTGATAAACCCATTGAATCACTTGAAACAAGTTATCAAACAATTTAGCCATAACTAGTACGTTGAGTTGACAACTACATGCTAAGTTAGTGCTATTGACTACCAGTCAAACATGACTCTGTTTGGATACAGGAAGAAGAGAACGGCTTGACTATTGTCATCTTGAACGGAAGCTTTTTGCGGAATACACTGTGTACGTAGTTAGTTGTACTTCAGTTCTGAAAATAACCCATATTAGATCTCGAAGACTGTCAAATACCTACTGGGTACGTAATACTAAGAGTAGCAAACTTACTTATAGCTTCTTGACCGCTAGTCAGTCAGTCAGTCCAACATTATCCACCAGGATGTTGATAGCGGTGGAATGATCGAATCGGGCCTCAGTGAACCGAGAAAAGCTGACGAGCTGCCTACTGACTAGGAAATTCCGACAGGTACAGTACAGTATGGGCTGGGTGCATAGGGGTCTGAAGGGTCAATGGGTGCGCCTTTTAATTCAACCAGTCGGTCTCCTCCATTTGGGACCTGGGACAGCAGCCAGCATGGAGACTACGATACGAGGAGCGTCGCAGCTGGTTGGTCCGTCATCATCAAACCATGTGGTATGACATTGAGCTGGTACAGTAAGTAGTCTACACCACTTCGCGCGGATCGAACTAAGCAAGCAACCCCCCTCTTCGACCCCAGAATTTTGACCACGGTGGCACAAATTCTGACGGAATCGTTAAAGCAAGCATCTCCGGTCAAGGCCTCCCTGGCCAGTGGGGAAAGGGGATGTTGACTCCACGTAGCCGAGCCGTCGGGGCCCAGGACAAATAACAGAACGGATTAATGCCGGGCTCAAAGCTTCCTCGCACTTGCGCATCTATTTTGGCTTTCCCGATAGAGATTAAGCTGCTTCTCAAGCCCCTTCAAGTGCGACTGCACGAAGGGCTGCGGCAGCCCGGACTGGATAGAGTTGACGCAGCCAACGATGATCATATCGTTAGAAACAATCGACTACTCTGTACTGCTAAGTGGCATGAGCGGGTACTGGGGGTGGTGATGATGATGATGATGATGACGGTGATGGCATAGGCGGCGAGAGACCGGAGCATGGGCCGATATCAGATCAGATGATTGTCGAAGGAAGGAAACTCGGTCTGACCTGGTCGGATCTGGTTTGATCAGGCGGATGATCCGCCAGTGCTGTTTTGGAAGGCCAAAGAGTACAAATCAGTCTTTGGTTCCGCAAACAGGCGATTCTATGCGCGAAGTTTGCCTTTGGGACATGGTGCGGACAACAAATCGATGCCGGAGCGGGAGGCAGAGCGCTCGGAGCACTTCAGCCCATACCTCTTCCTCCCTCTCTGTTCTTCTTCCTGTGTTGTACTGTTATTGAACCCAAGCCAGATGTCCAAAAGGTTTGTTTGACCGCCAGATTGTCAATCGATGGTCATGCTGTTCCCTAGCTAGTTGACCGGTCTGGATATTTTGAAAGCGTCGCGTTCACGACCGCAACGGCCCTGCACTGTTCGACCGACCGATCGTCTGTTGCAACCGACGCCCAACCCCTTGGCGATGTTCAGGTGCTGCGCAGTATCGTTCTTCGACGAGCTCTCTCTCGGATATTTTGTCGTCGCGTGAGAAAGAATAAAGGATTATCAGCTGAGCCAGACATCGTGCTTGAGAATAGCGCTACGAGTGCAATCAGAAGTGGTTGCAATTCTAGGGACCTGCGACAGCAGCAGCAGCTTAGGTAAGATTCCCTAGGTTCAACCATGACGCCTGCTGGGATTTGCAAGAATGATCGACCGCCAATTAAAGTCTGGAATGGAACAATCATCTATACAAGTCTCAGGTACTACTTACTTTCTACATACCTTTACTCTCTATCACACATTTCATTGACTCGTACCTCGCTACATCATAGAGAATAATAATGGTGACGCCGAGGGCCATGATGATCGCTGGGATCTTCTGTAGTATGCCGACCAGCCCAGGCCGTGGCGAATTACCTCAGCTTGAGTCAGTCCGATGTCATTTTCCTACGTCGCTATCAAAGCGAACCACGATTCAATTACTCTTAACTTTGGTTTAGGGATCCGTTGCTCTCGATCTTGCATGTCATTTCGGGAAATGATCGTTCTCATGTCCCATGGCCCTTATGCCTTGCTGCATCAATGACTTTACTACGAAGTGATAGGAAAGGACAGACGTCATGTCGAAACAGCAGCAGTAACAGCAGCAGCAGAAACCACAGAAGACGATAACTCCGGCTCGAAACAATGAACCAAGGCGGACTTTCTTCTCGGCTCTATGCGCGTCCTAACTATTCGATATTCCTGACGTACTCGATAGAAAACCAAACATTCTAGAAGGCATCAATGCCACAGATTTGACTACTGGACACCAGTCCCAACCCCCTAATGACATCTTCGAAACCTTATCTGAACTTTATCTCAATGTGAATCTCTTTGATCGAAACGATCAATTTCATCAGACATAGCTTGACATCAACATTGCATCAGGGCCAGTAGATAGAGGTCCATGGACGAAGTTATAAGGCCGCCCAGGGTTGCCTTGCTCTACTGTAGACTATCCAAAATCACCAATTCTTTACACCGATTCAACTACTGCCCCCAGGTTGTCTCTTTCACAAAGACGTTTCCCACACCTCATTAATTCCCTTCATCAACATGTCGAACCGCTACGAGAGAGAAGCTGAAGACCGCTACGAGGCTGACAATGACACCTCTCCTGTTTCGGGAACTGTCTACGACAACTCTTACGCCCATGAGACCCAGTCGGGGCTGAGGGGACAGATTCCTGTTCAGAAAGACGAAGATCGCTATGATGACCCCATGCAGCCTCCCTATTCCAACTCGGACCAACAGCTTGGTAGGTTCCGCACCACCTTGGACGAACGATGAGCAGATGGCTAATAATCGTCTACAGCCCAAGATGAGAACGAGGCCATTGATCAGTCCAACATCCTGCAGGGAAGCCGCCTGCGTCATGCGAAGCCATCGACAAGAAACGCCTACAACGAAGGTCCGGATGAGGACGACTTGCCTGAAGAAGTGCTCTACGGCAACTCCGGTGTGTCCAGCACTGGTGGCGTGGCTTGAAGACATCCGTCACGATGGTGGATTTGATGCGCAACGTGGAATGACTCGTATATGAGTTTGTTATTATTGTTCAGTGATGAATTGCTCTTATGTTGATATGTAATTATGTACTGTACACGAATTGAATGTGGAAGATCTGCCTAGCCAATTCTGCGGCAGGATATCGTTTCCATGAAGTGCAGGAATATTGGTATCATTCCGGGCCACTTGATACTGATTGAGTTAGTTCTGGCCGTAGCCATGAAAGGTGAAAGTGCCCTGATCTCAAGTAAGAAGGATCTCAACGAGGCTTGACGTATCGCAGACGATGTATGTATGAATCGTGCCATGCTGCACATGATAAGCATTTAAGTCTAGCCTCTGTTTCCAACACTTCGCGTAGCGTGTGTTGCGGCTATCGAGCTATTGTGGAGCGTGATATTTTGGAATGGTGGGAATCTGCTGCCGCGCAGAATTTATCTGCCGATGCAGCTGTTGGCAGGTTGATTGTGTGAAGCCAGTCTGAGTTTCATTTCCGAATGACGTATGATTCCGAACTTGAAGGGCATGGATGACCGATTCACGACAAGACTCGTGTCTACACAGTGATCAGAAGAAACCTTGGTAAGGGCATGGCCTCGCACGTACCACAAATTGTTCTAGAGACTCTTCAAATAGCTCATTATTGACGCCCACACCCCCTGGATGCTCGACAGGAGACAACGGGTTCTTGACCACTGCCGGACCATGATTAGAGGTTAGCTTGGCGCATTCTAACAAATCGTGAAAGGAGTGTGTTTTGATTTACCGTATTCGACGTAGAGATTGATGTAGATTTGCTGCAATGCAACGCGCATACTTGGACTCTTGATATCCGTGAGCATGACGAATTTGATGTTGGTTGGCGTCTCGTAGTAGTGCAATTTATATTGGCTCGTCTTGTACGTGACGAAGCTGGAGTTGAAAGAGCCTGGTCAGTTGAGATTGAACCCCTGATTCATGAGCCAGCCACAGCCTTACTTGTCGTCCTCCCCTCCCAATTTGCGCACCAGATTGCGGAGCGAAAACACAGTACCAAAGATCAATTTCGCATCGTCATCCGTTGTCCGCGCGGATTGGCCAAGAAGCACAGGAGCGCTGGTGGCTGGCGCAGAAGCTTCCGAGGTAGGTCGCGAAGATTTGCTGCCTGAAGTAGAGACTGGACGAGGCAGCCAGCGTCGTTTGTATATGCATTCCGCTAACAGCAGGGCGGGATGGGGTTAGCATGTGGAAATCTGGGGACGTCAATACAAGGGAAGCGGAGAAAAGGTACTGTACCGTGCCGGTCAAAGATATAGAAAGAATAAACCACCATTGCGGTAGAACGGACAAGTCAATGATAATTTGACAAGAAGAACCGAGGAAGGAAAAAGCGGGAGAGAGTATGTGTGTGCAGAGAATCTGAGCCAAGAGTAAGAGGAAGATTGTGAGTCGTGAGTCGTGAGTCGTGATGAGATGCGGAGGTTGGAGGGAGGAGGGTTAGATAGCGGACAAGTGGACGAGGGAAGCTTGTGGGCGGTGAGCCACCCCAGTGTGTTTAGTTGTCGATAAGGAATTACGGAGTAAATTACTCCATACTAAAACGAAAAGGAGAACAGAGATCAAACACCCAGTACGGTACTATTTTTATCATTGATCTACTCACCTACATGTTATGAATGCTATCAACATGATTGAAATATGTCACTATGTCAATATGTAAGTTCGCCTGTATTGTATACTCTGATCTAATTTCTGGAGGGTTCAAATAGGTCAAATAAATCAATTAACAAAAAAAAAAAGCCCAGCCAGGATTATAATTCATGAACAGGAGTACAATACGGGGTACATAGTTATACAGTACATACTATACACACTTTGACACTGTATACACACGTACTGCCAACCATCAGCCCTATAGCCTACAGCTGATGATCTCCGCTGTAAATCAACTACCGCGTGTAGTCTAGGCTGGTTAAGATGCATGAGTACATAGTATGTACAGTAAATACCATAGGGTGGAGGGTGAGGTTGAGCGAGTGTATACCGTAAGTCCAACTGTACAGTAATCCCCCCCCTCCTCTCCCGTCGATCAATTATTCCTCCTCTTTCCTCCACTCAGTAAATTGCGACAAACCACCTCCTTCTGCTTCGTGTATATTTCACCCGTCTCTATACCTAGAAACTTATCAATCAAGCTAACTGTCTCGCTTGACTGGGCTGTCTTTTCTTCTGAAGCTGCTCTCTTTCTCTCCTTCAACTAGGCACCTGTACTGTACCAGTGGTGCTTATCTCTAACCCGCCATTCATCTCCGGTCCTTTCTTACCCCCCCTCCCCCACAAACATTCGCTCTCAAGGCAGCCGTCAATTTTTGATTCCCTCCCCATCACGGCAACCCAGCAAAGTTTCAGAGAGGTCTTTGTCAGACTCAAACAGCCTTTGTGCTGTCGTTCCTCCATCTTCTGCTTCCCATGGCTCACGAAAACCTCGAACTGGCCCAACAGAATGGTGCGCCAAGCGACCAACCTCCGTTGCCACAACCCTGGCCCTTCCGTTCTGCGTATGTGCATTTATTTGCTATCCATTCTTCTTTTGAAATGGTACTGGTCAGGTTGATATCTGACCGTGCACACGATGCTCAGGTCAACACCATCATATGGTAGCCCGCAGAGGCATCATCGCCGTAACCCAGTAGTCAGGCGGCCGGTAAAGGTAGCGCCCATCCGAGAGTCTCTCCAGTCACATCTGCCGTCTTCCCGTGGCGTTCAGTGTCCCATTGTGCAATGGTTCTGACTATCCTGGATAGGAGACGCTCGACGCACGCTCTGAGTACACTACGAGCCAGGATGACGGAACTGCTGAACACAGAATCAACCAGTATGTGATCAAGCAAGAAATCGGCAGGGGCTCCTTTGGAGCGGTGCACCTCGCGGTCGACCAATTTGGAAACGAATATGTAGGGTCTATGCTCATCCTCGCCATGAACTAACGGCATTTTACCTGCAATATTAGGCAAGTGCTCGCGTGACTGACCCAGCCGATCAATAGGCCGTCAAAGAATTCTCAAAGGCTCGTCTCAGGAGACGGGCCCAGTCCCATCTGTTGCGGAGACCACGCGGTCCGAGGCGCCCTCTGGATGGCTACAATTCCCCGCTGCATCGCTATTCGGCAGGCGTCGAGGACTACAAGCAAGATGCCCTCTACCTGATCAAGGAGGAAATCGCAATCATGAAGAAATTAAATCATAACAATCTTGTCTCACTGATAGAGGTCCTAGACGATCCCACAGAGGACTCTCTCTACATGGTTATGGAGATGTGCAAGAAAGGCGTGGTTATGAAGGTTAGCCTTGAAGAAAGAGCCGATCCGTACGAGGATGCTCTCTGTCGCTGCTGGTTCCGTGACTTGATTCTCGGGATTGAATACCTCCATGCTCAGGGCATCGTACACCGAGATATCAAACCGGACAACTGCCTGGTAACGAATGACGACGTCCTGAAAGTTGTCGACTTCGGCGTGTCTGAGATTTTCGAAAAGGATTCTAACATGTACACGGCAAAGTCTGCGGGCTCTCCTGCCTTTCTTCCTCCGGAATTATGTGTCGTGAAGCACGGCGACGTTTCGGGAAAAGCGGCAGATATATGGTCGATGGGCGTCACGCTGTATTGTCTGCGCTATGGAAAGCTTCCGTTTGAGAAGCAAAGTATTTTCGAACTTTATGAGGCCATCAAGAACGACGCAGTTGTGTGTGAGGAGGAGACTGACGACAACTTTCGTGATCTGATCTCTCGGATCTTGGAAAAAGATCCGACAAAACGGATCCCGATGCATGAGCTGCGAGTAAGTTTGGGCGAGTGTAGATCCTCTGGAACGTACTTTGCTCATGTAGTGAACTGCAGGAGCATCCATGGGTAACAAAAGACGGCTTGGACCCTCTTCTGTCAGAAACCGAGAACACAGCGGAGATAATCGACCTTCCGACCGAGGAGGAGATGAATTCAGCTATCACTAGGACTATCGGGCATGTCATGGCTGTAGTAAGTATTTTTGAATCCCCTTTGTTCCTAAGCCTTCCATCAGCGTATGAAGAACCTCTAACGAAACATAGATCAAAGCCGTGAAGCGCTTCAAAAGACTACTTGATCCAGCAAAGAGCGATCCTCCAATGCAGAGTATTCTCGGTCAGGAGTACGAGAACCATTTCGTAGAGCCCCCACTGGAAATGGAGCCAGGAGAGAGCTTTGCAACTGGCCACTTGGGTGCGAAGAGCAAGGCTCAAAGTTTAAACACATACAACAGGACAGCTTGGGAGCAGCATTACGCCTTGAAAGAGCCTCACGGTCAGACCGAAGAATCAACTCACAACCAACCGTCAGGTGGCGGTCAACAACTCCCCACAGAGGATCCCACCACTGTCAGCAGTTGCAGAATTGGTACGGAAGACGCGCCAGAGAGCAAGGACTCGGGCTCCGTACGCAATATCAATGTTCGAGGAGGATTCATTGACGACCCGCAACCCACCTCTACGCCACAGTCTCCGTCTCCTTTCATACCACTATCCCGAGCAAGCTCAGCAACAACCAAGCGCAGCGTTGAGGGGACGCGCGGACATGCACGCGACCCTCTCGAAGAAGAATTCCCCTTCCTCTTCATTGGGCCGTCAACTTATACGGGCTCCCCTTCGAGCGAAGGATGTGACTATGCAGTGAATCATCTCATTCCTGAAGAACCAGGGAAAATGGCTGAGGATCTGGCCGATGTGGATACCGCCATAGACCTCGACCTAAACGCTGATATGGCCTGTCCGATCGTGAGCGAGTCCCCTGGTGCTGCGGAATTCGATATCTATGAGACTGCCTACCGACAGGAAATCGAGCGGATTCGAGCACCCAGCTTTCCTCGCAAGGGCAGAGAGCCCAAAGTGTACTTGACCCGTCGCGTAGAAGGTAAAGACGATGTGATGAAGCTGGTGGGTGAGAACGCCACAAAGTTGGGGCCAATGTTCGGTGTGAAGAAAACATCTAGCTCTGGATTGGCTTCTGCTGTGAGTGCAATCAGGCTGCAACTGGAACAACAGGAGAGAGTAAAATCCTCGGATGTACTGCCGTTGGCTACTGCAGCCGGAGTCACTACGACGGACACATCGAACCCCGAGCGCTCTGCATCTCATTTACGAAACATAGTCGACCGAGTCAGAAAATGTGCAGATCCATGAGAGAATGGAGGGTGGCATTTCACTAGCATTAACTGTGGCCTCAACAACAATAGATGACTAGTGGAATGGTCTGTACATGGATCCATACTGTGCACTGTCTTAAAAAAATCTGACCTCGTCGCATTGGTAGGTGCTTTTTCTCTCCCTTGCACACCAGCTGTGTAGCATCAAGGACTGGGCTGAATGCTGTGCTCTTATATAACACCATGCAATAATTAGTATCATACAAGTAATCAAGTATGTGACATAGAGAAGCGCGCGGCAGGTTGGCGCATTTGAAAAGACATCAGTAAAAGGCATAACAAAATTGTTGGCAGGGAGGTAGATCAAAAAAAGTATAACTTGCGAATCAGCGACACAAGGACTTGTGATATCATGTCTCATTGTTCATAAGGTTGCCGACCAAGCAATTGTACAGGGCATGAAACGACAGTTCTTTGTTGTTTTGTTCAAACGAATTCATAAATAATCTGTCATCGATCCATATGCGCAGACGTAAATGCTGGCAGAATGTGATATTCCAAAACTTGGAAACATGTCTCTAGAAGGCGTTCTTGCTTGAGTTCTTTTCTCCAATTCGACATATTTGACACGCCTGGACCCTTCTGCTAGATGCTTTAGCCCGAACATAAATAATATGCTTGCGCGCTGTAAGTAAGAAAATGTATCGTAGATCGTATAGAAAAGAAGCAGATAATAGAAGTTGCACGTGAGTGGCACGAGCCATGCGTTGAGCACGTTCCCTGGTATAGCTGGGCTGTCATCGTTACTTGATCGATCTTGTTCGCGACAACGATTTGAAAAGAGAGGGAAATTGTCTTTTATGATTGACATGGAATCATTAATCGTGAGTCGATATTTTCTGAGAAAAAAAAGGGATTTCCATCTTTGCCGGAATTGTCCGTTATTCAGATCGAGTTTCTGCTGGTCTTTCTATCAATAATTCTGGAGCCGTCCCATGCGCTTCTTCCGGGCGCCTGGCGAGAGGATGAATTAGATTCCTCCGATTGCTCTCCACGAATGATGTCCTATCAGGCAGAAGGGGTTCGAATGACCGATCGCCTGTTTCTCGTCTTTGAATCGATTCCCTATGTCCTAATTGTAGCGCTTGTGGCGAAGGTAGAGTTTGTCTCATTTCTGGGGGCCGCGGCAATTCCCTCATTGAAGGTACCAATTCCTGACTGGGCATTTCTTGCAATCGCGCTTCACCGATTGCTCCTCCCATTGATAATGGCCGCCTCGGTGGTGCAGGGTAGTGTAATTCGGATTGAGACGAATTCAGCGGCCTGCCAACGACCTGGGGACCGAATAGAGGTGCTCCAGGCCCCAGGCCAGCAGGACTAGTTGGCGCAGAAGGCAATTTCCCCTTGGTTGAGCCGGATCGTCGCGGAGGAGGATAGGTTTCCCCGCGGGCCTCAGCAGCCGCCTTACGTCGTTCTGATTCAGCCTTGCTTGGGCGACCTCTTTTCCGCGGAGGTTCGCCTCTGACAGTGATACTCTCCGAGCTGGGAGACAAAAGGGTCGAGGCACCACTTTCGCTACTGTAAGAAGCAGTACTGGTCGCAGGGCGTGGCTGAATTGCACGAGGGGGGCGGATCCCTTTATCTAGAGGAAACAGAGGTCGTTTACGCAAGGCACTGGGGTCCAAGGGTGCAGTTGCTGGCGGTGCAGATTCGTGGGCGTGAGGAGGAACCGGCCCACGGCCGGGATTGACAGATAATGATAATGGTACGTGCTGACACATGTTGTAGAACGCCATCTGGCAGGAGTTGAGTGAGCGACCTAAGTTGATCGGCGTCAGCTAGCAGACATAAATCAGGGAGTGTTCTCTGGCCCAATGTGGGCTAGCACATGTGCTCAGTCGAACTGAAACCTCCAAGACATCGAATGACAGTTTTGTACCTTGAGGCAAGGGAATGTCCGTCCAGCTTGGCGTGATACCGAAATCCCGGATCATTTTTACTAAGTGGCTCGAGGGAACTCTGGCCTTCTTTAAGATCTCGGTAAGTAGCGTGTACTTAAGTCCATCGTTAGTCGTCCGTAAAACAAGTCACAGGATCGTTTAACACCTGCGATCCCATTGATCGAAAGGTCCAAAGGGAAAGAACAACGAACGAAAAAAAGGGTAATTTTCGTACCTTCTCCTCCTCGTTCCACGGCCTCTCTGCTAGATTCGACATATCCAGTTGACCATGGAAGCTGGGTAGAAGTGGCTTTTCTTCTAGAGTCGGCCCAACCGGCGACAATGAGTCAATAGAAGAGATCGGGATTCTAGACAATGATGACAAGACGTAAAGAGTGACGCGTCACGCGACTTTGAGAATCCAAAAGTACACAAGCAGTACCAAAGCCTACCAGGATAAAAGTGCGCACTGCGGCGAAACCGAGCGACAGCGTTGGAGAGCCACCAAGAACAGATTCTAAACAGGGAAGAAAAAGCGATAGGGACAATAGAAACAGGATATACTCGTAGCGAAATCAGAAAGAGCCTCCCAAAAAGAATGATGCGTCTACAGCAAAGGAGCAACACGTGGGCGCTCAGGAACAAGCGCGTAATGTGGGCTAGCGAAACCGCAATCGAGGACAAAGGAAAGGACGACGCTCCAACTAATAACAGTCAGCAAACGAAGGAGAGGGTATAGAATTGACGCGCAGAGAGTTGATAATAGACATTGAAGTTCAAAAGAACGATTACTTCAAGAAACGAACGCATAAGAGACGGGAAGCAGGAATAACGAAGGTCATATGAGGCAAGGGCAAAGGATGCCGTAGCAAGGCAAATTCGGGCGAGGTGGGAGACGAAGCACCAGAATGAAAATGAAAAGAAGCGGCCTTGATGTTTGCAAATGACCACCACACTGAAAAAAGGCAATGAAGAACAGAGGCCTTTCGCAGGGCTAAAGAAGCCGGAGATGGAATCAGTCAAACGATTGAACAGAAGAGGATCGGGGCCCTCCCCACAGGAAGGATATCAGATGTCGACGTTGGAGATCGAACAAGATTATCTGGAACGAGCAGTTTCAACGGTGCATATTGGCACACCACAGATAGAGGGGGAAAAGAGAATGCAGGAAATGGAAAGGAAGAAACAGAAGAAGCTGGACCAGTCGTTGAGTTGCACTGAATCATCCCAGGGACTTTTTCTAGCCAGACGGACTTTTTTACCCTCGGAACCGCGCAGGACAGTATTGTAGCTGCCACAAATGTGTGGCCGGAGGGAGAAAGGGAAGCTGCAGGGACTCCTTTCCGGGATGCTCACTGTCCGTCAACCGAAGACGATCTTTCGCGAACAATACAGAAGAGCCATGATGGGTCAGGACTCAGATCAGACCGAATTATGAAATACAGCGGATCCAACCAGTCTCAGGTGGGATTAGACCGGGGCCCTACCGAGAACAGAATAGTGTTTCGAAAACACGATGGTTTCAAGTGACCTCAAGTGCGCATCCTCCTCCGACGAGACAGGAATCAAAGGAATCAAACAATGCCTCACCAAGGAGGGGCTGCAGTAGCCCTGGCCGGCCCGCGAAAGGACGAAAAAGACCAGGAGGGGCACGACAGAGCATAGGGAAAGAGCTAAGGATGCATGTTGCTGGGACACCATGGGAACCTGGCCGGATGAGAGTGTAGGGGGCACAGGACCTAGCCGGGCTCGGCGTGAAGAAGTAATGCGACAACAGCCTGCGACTACTGCTGTACGCCCTGACTACGGGATGGAACCAAAGTTTAAAGCCTTGTTTGTGGATTGGAGAAATACCGTGGAAATAGACGGTGGTTAATAGGCGCGAAGAAGCGTCAAGCCACGGCTGTGGACTGCGAAGAAGCTTGCCATTTCTAGACCAAAGGTTCTGTCAACCTCTGGGGCGGAGAAGACCCCTCTCATAGGATGGAGTACGGTCTCCATAGCGTGCATGATAAGCGAATTACCGTGGAAGCATCCAGACGCACCGATGGTCTGGGTCGGTCGAGAGAGAGTGGGCCGGGTACTGGAAGCAACAGTTCCTAGGAAGATGATATCCAAGTCGAAAACTTGTAGAAGATTAGCTAGGGCGAGCTTCCATGGTCATTGGCCATGTCTGGAGGCCCGCGTACTCTGAACCTGGACTTCTGGCGTGCAGTTGCAGCACATGCAAAAATATGCATTGGCCTTATTCATGATAGCGGGAATGCACACCGCAATGACTGGCAGAAATTGGATAGCGGCGGAGGTGCTTGATAACCGCAAGGTGGGGTGAAAGGCTCCGCAATAGGCGCAGACGAGGAGTAAAATCCTGGAGGCTGGGTAAATAAATGGGTCCCGTTAGTGCAAAAAGCAATGGGACGAAGACTGCAAGGATGTTCCGAAACGGCCAGACCGGGATAGGTTGCTACTTGGCTCTCTCTCCGTCGTTCCTTCTTTCTCTTCTTTACCAAGCATGGTAGTGATTTTGATCCGGACAGTCTGTCAAGCTTAGTGGAAGCAAGCAGTATATGTCATGTATGATAACATTGGGTAGGACAAGGCTGCCCCCATCGAAGAAAATTAGAAAAGGCACGGTGAAGGTGGAAATCATGTAAAGGGAAGCGAGTAAAGGTAAGCAATACTCATTGTAACCGAGCTGTACTGGTCCTCCGTTGGAAAAGGCCAAAGGTTCGGAGTGAATGACATAAATATCATATTATAGTATCGTGCAGGAAAGGAAAAGGGTGGGGGGGTTCTTTCTGCTGTCACTGTTGGTTTCATACCTACCATCCCGTCCAATAAGTAACAGGCAGGGCGCGCAGGGACGAAATCCATCAGGAAGATGTACTGTAAAGCGAACGGGCGATGATATTTGCCCACGGGGCAAGTTCGACGCATGCCGCTGCGCTTGAGCTGCAAGTATTTCGTGAGAAGTAGTAGCGTTTTGCTATTACTAGTTACTCGCCCATCGACGGAGCGTCTTGCGAATGGAACAGCCAATCTTGCCACTGACGGGATGAATCGACGGGTCAGTTATGACCGGAGGAACCAAACAAGCAGCAAGTCTTGAGTTCTTAGTCGCTGTGGGAGGGCAAGCCACTGGATTGAAAGCGAGGATGGCCTGTACTCTGCAGCGTAATGTCTAATTGAGACTGACCATGGTCCATGCACGAGAACCATGCACGCAGGAGGGAGCAAGGCCCCGCCGATTTGAATCAACCGTCCAAAATATAGTCTGCTTATAGTACCGTAGTCCTGCGTGGCGTTGAAACTGGGTCTTTTGGGGGAGGGGGGTGTTTGGCCCCCTACTTCAAC